AATGTCTTCATTTTATCCACCCTTTTTATTGTATTTATTGAATTTTTTTAACTCTTGTTCTTAATTATCTTTTTATGTATTTATTGATGTAGTGAGGCAAGAGTTATCTATGGTAACACAGGAAAACATGCATTTAAGGTGCCATGAGGATATTGTGTGTGTGTGTGTGTGTGTGTGTGTGTGTGTGTGTGTGTTTGTGTTGTCTTTACTGTTACTTTATTTTAAGTGTCTATATTATAAATGTCTTTACTGTCACTTTTAAGCAATGTGTCCTTGCTGAGTACAATACTAATAAATGGGATTTAAGCAATAGTCACCATTTGGCTTGATTAACCTCAGTGAAGTGCTGCCTGCCATCTGAAGAGCAGCTTGAAGAATAACAAAGACAATCTTGTTCATCTAAAGAAAAAGTAAAAATGGTAATTATATGAACAATTATGTTATAAAATAAAGTAAATTATACAGATTATAGTATTCAACTAACATGAATAAACATTCATATTAAAGTATATATATATATATATATATAGATAGATAGATAGATAGATAGATAGATAGATAGATAGATTGATTGATTTTATAATATTTCATTGTGATAGACACCTTCTCTTAAATCTTACCTTGAGAACTTAATGAGTTTTGGTGACTCTCTCCTCTTCCCTTTCACTGAAGTAGTATTGGACCTGAGCAACATTTATATATGTAATACAGAAGTGTGAATTTCCAGCAAGCAGAAGTATCAAGTTCTAAACAAAGGGATATGGAAACCAATGTGGTGAAGCCAGTTTTCATTTGGGATTTCCATGAGCTATGTAACCGTGCTTGTTATGTGCTAGGGGCTTTAACAGGAGCAATTGTGTATGAGAATGTACAGGTCATCTCTCACAATTAAATCATTTCCTCTGAGTGAAATATGTTAGTTTTTTTTTTTGTGTGTGATTCATGTTTTGAATGCTATGGTTTTTTTGGGGGTTGGTTTGTTGTTTTTGCACTTTTGTTTTCAGTCACAAATCCCCATATATACACTGCTGTTCGAAGGTTTGGCATCAGTAAGAATTTTTATGTTTTTTTTTTTTAAAGAAGTCACTTATGCTCATCAAGGTTACATATATATATGATCAAAAATGGGAAAAAAAAACAATGTACTGTGAAATATTTTGCAAATTAAAATAACAGTTTTCTATTTTAATATACTTTCAAACATACTTTATTCCTGTGATAAAAACTGAATTTTCTTCAGCCATTACTCCAGTATTCAGTGTCCCATGATCCTTCAGAAATCATTGTAATACACTGATTTATTATCAATGTAAATCAGCATATTATGTTTCTGAAGGATCATGTGACACTGAAGATTGGAGTAATGGCTGATGAAAATGTAGCTTGAATTATGGAATGAATTATATAAAGTATATTAAATGAGAAAACTGTCATTTTAAATTGCAATAATATTTCACAATATTACAGTTTATTTTTTAATGAAATAAATGCAGCCTTTAAAAAAAAAAAAAAAAAAACATTAAAAATCTTACTGATCCAACACACATATTTATATAGATATGAAAGACATCAATAAGGGCCTCACATGCTCTTTCTGGTGAAGCTAATTTTGAACATTAATTAGGTCACTGCTGCCAAATGAAAATGTAGAGCGTGTTAATTTGGACATGACTGTAATGTCCAGATATTTAGGTGGTAGTGGCACTTGTGCATTACACCACAGTCACTGTCCTAGTATGAGTTACACATTCTAGGGAAAAATCGTTGAACACGAGAAAGTGAACACCTTATCATCATAGTGTTTAACCACAAACCAAAACTCAGTTACAAAATTAACGGGAATTCCAAGATAACTTAATACCATGACTAAAGACAATGAAAATGCATAACGTGAGAAAGCCACTATTAAACTAAAGCCACAAAGCCTGTATGTATTTTATGACATGATTAAATAGGACTAACTAGCTTTAAAATAGATATATGGTGGGATAAATGTGGTGGTAAAAAAACATAAAGGGTAAACTGCTCAATGTCAGCATGAAGATTTTCACAAATTCACAAATTATGCAGAGCGGTCACAATTACTCTGTAGGGATTTCTAAATATGAACGGACACTGATATCAGCCATCACAAGGTTTGCTAAATCACCCAGCACATGAGTCCCATATTCTTGGTCGATTTCCTGTCAGTCACTCTAACAACTATCCATTCAGATCCTTTAAGTCAGTCAAGTCAAGTTTAAGTCAGTAACTGCGTTATATCAATAAATTACTGAAAGTTAAGTGTCTTTCAGAACCCCAAATAAACAAGCTAGAAGGCAACAGTGGCAAGGAACATAAACCCCATCAAGTGACAGAAATGGAGAAAAAAACTTAGGAGAAACTGTTCCAGTTCTCCTCTGGCCTAAGTGAACAAACTCAGTTTGATATTGGTAAAACCGTTTCAGCATGACACGTTTATAGCTGGGAGTATGGATTTGGGCTGAGGGCTTGTCCAGACACTAAAATCTTCGCTAAGGATCTGTCCTGAGGTCTTGTGTATTCGCTGAGCATCTGTCCCAAGGGCTCACAACAGTAACCTCAGGATAAGAGTGAGACAGACAGACTAATATAAGCATAGATGCCATTATTCTTACGATGTAACAAGTACTAGTTGCCCTAATAATGCAGTCTAACAATCTCTTAAGGGATTTGAATTATAGAAATATGATGTGTGTTATGTGTATGCTAGGTTAAAGTGATGAGTCTTTAATCCTGATTTAAACTAACAGAGTGTGTCTGTCCCCCAAATAATGCTAGGAAGACTGTTCCAGAGTTTGGGTGCTAAATAGGATAAGGTTCTACTGCAGTAGATTTGTGATATTCTAGGTATTATCAACTGGCCAGAATTTTAAGATGTGAAAAATAATAATGGGATATGAGCTTGCTCAAGTACTTACAAGCCAAACCATTCAGGGTTTTATAAGTAATCATCATAATTTTAAAATGTATACAGTGTTTAATAGGGAGCCAGTGAAGTGTTGAAATGGGCCAATATGATCATACTTCTTGGTTCTAATGAGAACTGTAGCTGTTTTATTTTGGACCAGCTGGAGTTTGTTTATTAAGCCTGCAGGGCAACATCCAGTAATGCATTACAATAATGTAGCCTTGACGTAAAATATGCATCAAACATAAGCAGTATTCTTGTTTATTACAGTAGGCTATATGTGGAGGGTCATCAAATTTTTTATATCAACTATGCATTCAGTTAGTTTTGTGGATTGGTATGCTTCATCGGGTATCATCTGTGTACCAGTAAAAAGTCATATTTATATATATAACTCTGATGAGTCCAGTTTCAGTGCTATAAAATGGTCTAAATCCTGACTGGATTTCCTTGCAGATACCATTTCTTTCCAAGAAGTAACATAGTTGTGAAGACACCACTCTTTCTAGTATTTTCGATAGAAAAGGAATTGGTCCGTAGTTAACTAATTCACTAGAATCAAGCTGTGGTTGGAGGCCATGCTTGAAAAGTGACATCGTAATAGTTTATCTGACCATTACATATCATAAATGTATCCACAGTTTCAGTAACACTTTATTTTGATAGTCCACTTTAGACATTCTACTAACAGTAAGTAACAGTAAGTAAAGAGTAACCACAGTTTCTTCTCAAAACACTGGTTAATATCTATTGTACCTATATAACTTTTATTTTTGTGTATCTTGTGTATATAAAGTATATATTTAACTTGTGAGTTAGACCTGAGGTTCACACAAAAGTGATTTGGATATTTTGTATTACCAATAATTCATTAATATAAATATAAAAAACCTATTATAATATTAAGACACATATTAAATATAAATACGTTATTAATAAATATATATTAAAATGATTTTTGCTTAATATATTTGCTGTATTTCATTAAAATAAATGTATCCACACACAATTTTTTTGAAATTACATTATATATATATATATATATATACATACATACATACATTTTTTATGGAAATAATGAAAAAAAAACTCCTTAAAAATAAATAAAACATTTTGATATTTGGTTAATAAACAATTCTGTAACAAAATCAGACAGAAATACTTAAGTGTACAAATGTTTAATCAACTTTTAATTAAAAACACATTCTCTATCATTAAAATATGAATGTTTTTTTTCTCTCTTTTCAACTCAATTTTTTTCAATAGGACAAAGCCCTGAATCCATTTAAATGGGATAGCACTTAGCGCATACTACGGCACTGATGGGGTTTTGAGTCTGGTTCCCTTCAGAAAATTATATATCACTGCTCCTCATCATTTCCTGCCCTACTATGCCTAAGGAAAACATAAAAAAACATTAACTAAAAACATGTATATAGCATAAACTGTTAGAATGTCCACATTCAGCTCCATTCAGAGATTACATCTTCATGTCTTCTCCTTCCATTATATCACTTACTCATACAGTAGCTTCCCCATTCACATGCATACACACAGTTATTACATGATGACCCCCTTATCACCTTTATATATCCTCAGGATGTGCGAAACAATGCGTAGCACCATGGCAACCTCGCAGAGCTGAATAAATTCTTAAAAGCACCTTGAATTACAAGGAATCCGAACAGTTGCCCCATTCCAATTTTTCACTTTTCTGCAGACAGTTTTACAGGGACTGAGAAAATCAGATTTGTTTGTTGGAGGATATCGATTGGAATATCTGTCTAGACTGAAATCTATCTGCAAAATGTGACAACTACCACCTACACTAAGAGCAAGTTTAACAGCTGATCTACTTGTCTACATGACTAATAAACTTATCCTCTTTTGAAATGAAAGAGTTGAATGAATGCTGTTTAGAGAATTTATGTAATTGAAAATTTATCTGAAAAAAAAACTAAACAAAACAGAGATTAAAGATGCTGGACAATCAGAAAATCCAAAACTGACATTGTTTTTGTGACATGTAACATATTTTCTTTAAAAAAATCTTTATATATTTTTGGTTACAGAGTTTCTAATAAAAACAAAAAATAAGAAAACAGTCCAACAAGTGATTCTCCTGTACCTGAAAGCCAAAAGCAGTTTAAAATGTCCTTTTGGCCCCAATTGTCTCTGTTTTATAATTCAAGTTCTAACAGACACAGGTAGGTCCACACTTCCGGTCTGCCTTGCAGACATATGATCTCATCACAAGAAAAATGGAGAAAAGAATATTAAGCTTATAACTACATAATCTTAAAAATAGCAAAGCATTATTAAGTTTCCTTTGCCAAAACCATACTTTTTGGACCTCTCTTGATCAATTCAGGACTCCGGTTTTCTAGACCTGAGGCTTTTAAACAGAAAATCTGAGTCTCAACTCCCTTAGAAAAGCTATAAGTCAAAGGCAGTGAGTGTTTGAAGGGAAAAGCCTCTAGAGGTTCACTCTAGACTCAAGTGGCCAATCCAAAAATAGAGAAATCTTCTGAAAAATATCGTGGCCCATGCACATTGATATCCTCTCACATACACACTTGGTGTGGTGGTTAATATCCCCAACGAGTCATTAGTTTTCCACAGGAGTGGGGTTCTGCGGCAGTGGTGGGGTTGTGGGAGGCTGGCTGACGATCACCTGGATGACATAGTCTCTGGAGATCTTCAGTTCTTCCAACTTCATCTTGTCAGTGAGTGGTCGGCCTGAGAAGAACCAGCGCTGGCTGGTGGCCACTACACCCTCCTGGGTCTGCAGACGGCGCTTCATCTGCTGGACATTGTCGCTGGTGCGGACGGCCAGGCGTAGATCTCGTCCCGTGGAGAGACGTAGACGCAACTGACACTCCTGGCCTTCACTAGCTGGAGCTTCTGGGACCTCAATGGTCTCCAACTCGCTCTTTTCCTCAATCATGTTGACAGGAGGCGAGAGGCAGTAGACAGGCAGCTGGTAGCGGTTCCCCAGCTCATCGTAGCATTCAGTCAGAGCACCTGGAGATGACACAAATGAAGCATTTAAGCCACATTTTCAGTCTCTTTTTGTTGACTTATCTAATGTTTTGATACAGTGTACAATGATATTGTAATATAGCATTTATATATGTCTAATATATGGTGCAATCAAACATTATGATGCAAAATGAGTAAAGATTCTGTACTATTTATTGGTAATGAAATCAGCAATTTTATGGCAATGATTATGTGAACTTTTTTTAAAGATCAGATTTCTTTGCTTATATTGAAGTATAATATGTTCTTTGAATCGTTCTCATATTGCTGGATAAAATGGATCATTATGGAGTTCAGACAAACTACAAAGAAAAGAAAAGAAAACAAAAGAAAATCATTAACTTTCTATTTTATTTTATGATGGGGATATGGTTATCAATTGTTGTGCATCCTTCACAATCAACACCTTTAAGTATTTACAAACAGTGTAATTACAACAGTGTTTTACAAACAACGAACAACAGTGTCTTCCACAGTATGCAAGCCAAAGGTATGAATGGAATGGAATAGAATAGATATTTATGTCAACAGTTTAGCAGCCTCCTCCAGGTTAGCATATTTATAGAAAACAGACACATAATAGAACAACATCAGTAAAGATAATCACATTAATGTATTATATAGAAATGATATCTCCCAAGTAAAACAATAAAATTCTGTCAGTCAGTCAGTCATATTTATTTATAAAGCACATTTAAAAACAACAGCTGTTGGCCAAAGTGCCGTACAAAGTTTAAGCAAATACCAAATTACAAAAAGTAAACAGAACACACCAACAAACAGTACACTACAATTATACCACTGCACCTACTTATGACCATATGCAACAGTAAATAAGTTTTAAGAAGAGACTTAAAATCAGCATATGTTGGTGCAGTTTTTATATAGGACTGTTCCGAAATGAGTCTACACTACCTGTTTTGTGGACTGTACAGATGAAAACTGAAGATATTCAAGTAGATAGAAATAAATCTTATTTAATAATTATATAAAATTATTATTCTATTAAAACGTTTTATTATTATTATTTTTTGCATTTTTCTTGATAGGACAGTGGAGATATGACAGAAAGTGAGTGGGAGAGAGACAGGGGAATTGGATTGAGAAAGGTCCACAAGGCAGGATTCGAACTCGGGACACCCAAAGCACAACTGCGCCATATATCGGTGCACTGCCCACGAGACTATCAGCGCCAACTTAAAATAATACTTTAAGCATAATAATAATATTCCTCCAGGCACCAGGCTCTTGATTCCATGGAACAGGCTTGGCTCTTTTGCTTAATGAATAAAAACACACTTAGTATTTTGTAACTACATATTTTTACCTTAAGCATAGTGTTAGCTAGGTATGTGTGTATATGTATATGTATGTATATATTTTAGTTTTTTTTTCCCTTCTGCTTCTTCCTCTCTTTTTTTGGCCTCTGGTCACCAGTAGGCTGTGAAATCCAGGTCTGTATCTGGTGAGGTGGAGTTGTAATACGGGTGGGTGGATGTAAGGTGGGGCTTAGTATTGTGTCTCCCCGCCGTCTCCCTGAGCTAGTGGGGAAGTCGTGGCCTAATGGTTAGAGAGTCGGACTCGTAACCCAAAGGTTGCGAGTTCAAGTCTCAAGTCCGGCAGGAATTGTAGGTGGGGGGGGGAGTGAATGTACACACGCTCTCCCACCTTCAATACCACGACTGAGGTGCCCTTGAGCAAGGCACCGAACCCCCAACTGCTCCCCGGGCGCCGCAGCATAAATGGCTGCCCACTGCTCCGGGTGTATGTGTATGTATGTATGTATGATTGTATATATATATATATATATGTACGTATGTATTAGGGCTGGGCGATATAGCTAAAAAATGTATCAACGATATAATGTTTCATATCGTTCGGTATCGATAATTATTCAAATTTTTTAATACCATTTTTAAAACAAAGAGCAATAGAAAAATGTTTTACATTTAACCACTGTATTTTTTAATTAACCCAATTTGTTGAGACAAACAACAAATATTTTTTGTTTTAAGTCAAACACACAATAAAAATTAAACAAATATTTTATTTCTAATGTTTTATATGCCGATTAAATAGGTCTTAAGGAAACTTTTGGCTTGTCTCCCGAGGCCACAGGAGGGCGCCATTCACTCAGATTGTATTTAAAAACATATGAGATGCAGTGAAAAGGAATAAACTTCCACAAATTCGCGACGTGTTTTCTAAAAGTTTAAACTGTTTTAACTTTGCATCTCTTAACATCTTAACATCTCTTGTGTGAGACGCGAGTGTAGCAGTTTTATTTGTCCGTCTAAAAAATTTCAGTTTCAGTTTTAACCTAATCAAGATCTTCTCCGCATTGAGCTTCTATATTTCTCTAATATTTTGAATGCATAATGCAGCAACTGCGCGTCTCGTGGGCTAGACTAACAAAACATTAAAATGCAACTACGTCATTTACATCATCATCACGGCATCTCGTGCTCCCTTACGCACTCCTAACATTTGATTGTACTATTTTTGCATTCAAATGCAAGTGTGCCGTGTGGGTGGGCCGGGTCCCTGACCTGGGCTGCACTACACGTCTCACTTTTTTTAATGCATCACAAACTAGCTGAGGCATATACACATCTACACATTAAAAACATAAATAAATAAATAGACATATAAGGTAAATGTGGCATGTAGGTAGTGGCCAGGCATGGCTGGTGTTTTAGGGGATGGGGGCCCATTCTCTTTGGGCCCTGTTGCCCCGCAAGCATCTTTCCCTAGCACTCCCATTGTGGCATGACATGGGCTGGGCCACGGTTGTAGCCACATTGGCTGGGCCAATGTTGTAGCCACGTATCAGAGGCAACCCCAATAATTATTAAATATTTATTAATTTATAACTTAATGGCCCGGTTTCACAAACAGGGCTTAGACTAAGATTTTCTAAGGATTAGGCCATAGTTCAATTAGGACATTTAAGTAATTTTTATGAACGTACTTAGAAAAAATAACATTACTGGTGTGCATCTTGAGATACAACAAAGGCACTGATATATTTTAGGATCAGTCAGTGCAAGTTTCTTTCAGTTGAAACAACTCAGACTTACATTTTAGTCTAGGATTAGGTTTAAGCCTTGTCTGTGAAAACGGGGGAATATTATTATTAATATTATTATTATTATTACTTGCCATCTTCATTGTCCTCCACCCTTTCCCAGTCTTAATGAAATAATAACAATTATTATTATGGTTATTATTAATATTGATGCTAATAACATTTGTTGTCTTTTTTTCTTCATTTTTAAAGTTATACTACTTATATGTGTTATTAATCTGTTAAGATACCATTTCATTTGTATGCTTCCCCCCCCACCTCTAGACACAATGACACACGCACGCACATGCGCACACACACACACGCACATGCATGCTCACAGAGACATGAATGCAAATACAGGAGCTAATCAGAATGGACTTGTAATGTTGGCTATCAGTATATATGTTTGTTAGTCCAAGTAAGTCTATATTTGGCACATGTAAATATTGCCACTTTCTTTACTTAGCCTATGTTTCTTACTTTTATTTTATATGTTTGGTCCATGGGATTATGTATTTGGCACATGTAAACATTGTCACATTCTTTACTTGCATAATAAAAAATAAAAAAGCATAGTGTTAGCTACAAAGGCTGTTTTGAAATCCTACTTGATAAAATAAATACAGACACACATCACATGATGAGTATGCTACTCATGACATAGAGACTCACTGAGGATCTGTCAACTTTTCAACCAAAGAGGAAGTTGGTGAAATGAATCAATGACAATGAGACAGGGTTCACACCACAGGAACAATAAGATTACATCACTGGCTTCTTCCAAAGAGGAAGTAAGTAATTTTAATCATAATGAGCTACACCTCCATGGAATTCAGTAAAAAAAAAAAGTAACACTCATACTATCATGATGACAAGTTTTGTTTTAAAGGAGTAGGTTTTGATTTAAAAGACTGTTTTATTCATATCAGTAATACGAGGATTTTATTAAATGCTTCAGATGAGGTTTTAGATGTTTTCTGGTGAAACTCTTTACTGCTCAGCAGATCAAAGAATATTTTATGAAACAATCATATACTAACCATCATATGTTGTTCCAAACTTTTTTTTTTCCACAAAAAAAAAAAAAATCAAAATCAAAAAGGAAGTAGTTTAATCAAAACATGTACTTTATCCTCTTCTGTCCTTTGAAGTCAAACGCTTTCATCAAAGTTCATGACAGAAGTAGTGCTCAGATTTGTCAAAGAATTTGTTGATCCAGTTAACAAAAACAGTCTGTCACAGCCTTCTGCTGGAGTGAAGGCATGCGAATCTGCATGGCGATTCGCGATGGCGCCGACGCTGATGGCTGCCTCCGTGGCGTGCTCCGCAGTTGTTTTTATGTTTTTGTTAGTTTGTCCTGTCTTTAGTTATATCCCTGCAATCAGTTTCACCAGAGATGAATTGCTGGACATTCGGAAGTACACACCACCCGATATTTCACCGGTTTTCGATTATTCTGATGTTTTGCTGGACATTGTAGTCAGGGGAGCAGCGGCGCTGTTCAGACGCTTCCTTCATTAACTGTAAGCCTTTCTACTCGCCGCGGGACTTTTGCTCGTTCATTCTCGTAAGTGTGTACATTTCTCCGCAAGCACACATGAGCTCCGCTTTATGCCGAGTATACACTGCACGATATTAGCCCGATTTTTCACTCGCCGACAGGTTTTGCGAAATCGCCGACTCGTAACAGCTGTAGTCTGTATGTTAATTAATTTCTGATACCCCTTTGTCTGAGACAGTTCTCAGTGTCTCACACCCATTCTCATTCTACAATTTGTCACCATTTGCTCAGGATGTGATCATCCCAAATGATCTACAAACAACATACTGTAACTGTTGAGTTTCTTCTTCTCTATAATAATTAAGCCATTTTGGGAAATGAGCATGATCAAACATATTGTGGAGTGAAATT